AGCCACTTTCACTATATGGGAGAATGAGTTCATATAATTAGTCTATCATGTTACGGAAAGAGTCAATATTTATTACTAACAACTAATTCCATCTGCTTTAGGAAAATCATTCAGATTGTATCCGGATTTATAAGTAAATCTTCATCTTTGGTCATAAAAATACAGAATTTTATCAGCATATTAAATTAGTTTTTTTGTATTTGATAAAAATATCTGATTCTCCAGAAAGCAGTAACATTATTACTTCTATCCAAGCAATTTCAATTCCTTCTCTTGCCACATCGACCCATGTATTTAATCATCCTGTTCTTACTTGATAATTCATTAACTTATGGGGTAGTTTTGCCTTGGCCATATCGATCACATAAAGCTGTGCATGTATTTCGTGGATGGAATGAACCATAATTGTAGGAAATTTGATCACAAATCTTGAACATTTGCGGAACCAAATCCATAACCTAGTCCAGCCTTGGTAACAAATTATGCAAATGCGATGAGATGTGATGACACTGTTGTGTTTCCAAATGCTTTGTATGTAGTGAGGTTTAGATGTGTTGTTCGACCTAGCTACATGTGTACATCAAAATAAAATCCCTGTACACATTTTTTTAAATACCTGAATTGACATTAGTTCAACTACTTCACCCAAACCATAGATGAAACATACTCCTTAGTTAGTCTATTCCAAAACTTGAACACAGCTCTCATTCTCAACGTACTCATCTATGAAACAATTTTCAACCCGATTATCGAAAACTTTTATACCAATAAATGAATTTCTGGTGTTCTTTCTTGAATTAAAAAATAAATGGTGATTGAAAGTAGGCAAAAAAAGGCAAGTGCCAACCTTACAATATATATAAGCTAACCCGATAAGGAATAATGATATATTCCTTCGAAATTGATATGTCACACTTATTTCATAATTTAAAATTTTCTAAGAGCAATAAAGCATAGATTTTTGAACAAAACATTTAAAACGTATAAAAAATTCATCATTTTGTTGAAACTATAAAAAAACTTGCCATGCAGTGGAGAATCAATTTAAAATCATAAATAATAATTTAAACATTTATTTTTGACAGTTTCAGTAGACCTTTGAATACAATTTAAATATTAACAGCTGGTTCATTAAAAGTAGTGTAAAATTATCCATATGGTCGTAATGTAAACAAAATTGCAGAGTGAACTTTAAAGGCCTCTGGGGCAGAGCCCCAAGGAAATTTACCTCGTTTCTCTTTTGAGGGCTCACCTACAGACCAATACCTTTCTTTAGACACCCCTACCAAGTTTTTACGCACAGCCGTTCTCTCAAATTAGCTGTGACAAAAACCCCGTTTTCCTCCATAAGAATAACATGGGATGGGAATTTAAAAGCCACTGGGGCAGAGCCCCGAGGGAATTCACCATGTTTCTCTTTTGATGGCTCATCTACAGACCAAGACCTTTCTTTGGACACCTCTACCGAGTTTCTACACCCACCCGTTCTCTCAAAATAGCTGTCACAAAGAAAAACATTTTCAAATTAATATATAGATTAACATGGGCCTTATGGGTTGTCATGTTATGTTGTTGACGAAATAACAACAAAATATAAACAGAAAATCAAAACAAATTAAAGAAATTACAATCACATGTTTTCTTTACAGCGTGGGTTTAAAATAGAGAGGTTTGCACAATACATACTTTTGGTAGAGTTTTTGGTTCAGTCTCCAAAAATTTAAAGGTTCAGTCTCCCCTTAAACTATGTGTACCTACAGATTCAAAAAACAAACATTCGGAAAAACACATTTAAGTATTTAGTCGCCTTGCATTAGTTATTCTCCTATGTCTATTTCAGTGATGTTTTGTTATTTTTTAGTTGATTTAAGTCTTAACTAAAATAAAATTACCTTTTTAGTACCGGTACTAATTATTTTACTTTCTATTTAAGTTCAGTAGGCTTAAACAAATCCCATTTGATTAAATGTTTGCAGAGAGGTAGTATTTAAAATATAAATGCCTGTCGTCAGCCATGTTTACTTTACCGCCTGAGATGACTGTGTTGTCGTCCGCTGTAACAGCTGTCTCATCGTTATGTCTACCTCATTTCGTTTATCTGTTATCTTCTATTAATCTGTAAGCCAATAATCCCAACGCTGATCATTTTTCTATCAGTAATTAAAATGCCACTCTGTATGTGCAATTAGACATGGCGCAGGTTAGAAAAACTGCTTGGAAAAGATTTAAGAAAGGTAAAATAATATTTTTATGCATTGCTTTTTTAACTTATTCCTCATTCCTATCTTGATTATATTATAGTTATTTATACACATAATATACTTTCTTTAATATGCTTATATAAAATTTTCCTGTTCTTGAATGAGTCAACAAATTTAAAGTATACATTTTAATTGATTATGCTTGACAACCCTCAATGATTACAGTATGGTAAGGTTTATTAAGCTAAGTATATTGAGTATTTTCCTACCACAATATGCTTAAGCCAAAGTTAGCATAACTTCCCAAAGCCAACTCATTTTGCCACATATTTACTGATTAATTCATCAGTTACAAATAAATCTCTCAGTTCAATAAAATGTACATTCATAATAGAGCCTACATGTTATAGAAATATTTTTTCCCAAACCAATACATATTTAGTTTTTACTCCAAACACCCTTAGGAATTTGAATGCAGTAGATGTGTTCACATGCACGTTCAAGAGTGATTGTCAAAGAAAAGAGCGGAAGGAGTAATGAAAAGATTGGCCTTTTGATCCTTAAAACAACTATGCTGGAGTTTAGTTTTGCCAGACAAAATTGACCCCGGGTGATAGTTAATAAGCTGGCACGCTGACTCCGTTGCTTAAATTGATGCGATGCTGCTTATTATGATGTAATATAAGCCAATACAACACGTTTAACTCTCTCAACCATTGACAATTTTGTTACTGTAATTGTGTTACTCTTGAGTATGTAGTTGGTTTTATTAGGTTTTACAATCCTATTTATTTTTAGCAAATTTTCCATATATGTAATAAGCAATTTTTATACCCCTTTTAATTTATTAAAAGGTATGTCCTACTATTTTCTACTTAAGCCTACATGTGAATAGAGAGTTGGTGTATCGAATTGAACAAAGTAGAATAAATTCCACTACTTTACTTGTATCATCAACAAATTTTTGCATAGTAGTTTATTTTGTGTACTTAGTCCTTTGGTTTAGTAATGGTCAAAACCAGAAATTTCAAATCTCAAACCGAAACCAAAACTTTGAAAAATTGAATTCCCGATTCTCAAATATCAAAACCTAAACGCAAAACTTTTTTACTTAGCTGGTTAAAAATGTCAAAGTTACAAAAAAATACAGCTAATAATTAAATATTAAGTATGCAATCAAAACTGAAAGAGATCTCGACTCCTCCCCCTGACATAAGTTAATAACATAAAAATGTGACTGATAAACTTGAAAATTGAAGTTGAGAATACAATTTACTTGTTTCATCACTGTTAATGGTGATCTGTTTGCTCTATTGCTACCAGCTTCTGTGAAAACAGTGTTACAAACAATAATAATGATGCAAAAAAATATCAGTAGTTTCAAAAATAAAACTGCTAAATTCGTTAATTTCGAAACATTTGAATCTCGATACTCTGTGATCAAATACCAAAATAAAAACTTTTCCAAAGTTTTGATGGTTTTAAAATTCGGTTTTGACACATCACTACTTTGGTTAGATCGCATCATTAATTAATCAATAGCTCAATGAAAAATTGCATTTGGGTCTAGCAGTGGCAGTCGGAAAAAATTTGGAATTTAAAGCTAATAAAATATTTCAGGGGCTTCAATGTGTAGGGCGGGATAAACTTGAATGAGTTCGCAAACCAACATGATCGGGGTTTTATGGGGTAAAAATTTATTTTTTCTAGTGTTTGATCCTCAAAACATACAGTTTCTTAATTTCTCTTTAAACCTTTTTAAAGAGCTAAAAAAAACAAATAATTTAATATATTGAAGTGTTTTTTTATGGTTATTGGTTACAGAGAAATATCAATAATAAATTATTTTAAATTTAAAATACTCGTGTTATGTTTATGGAGAATAAGTAAACTGTTGTAGTTTGCTTGTTTATAAATATATTTCTATCAAACTTGACAAAACATATTTATTTTATACTAAGCTATTCATATTTTACTAAAAATCACACTTTATTGCCCTCCCTGTAAGATTAAACTTAGGTACTTGTTAAACATGGTTTTATTATATTTAATTGAAAGTCTGATCAGGTAGATGGAAATTCACTTAGTCTGCAGGTTTGCTGCGGCGGGGGTATATTAAAATCAAAGACTTCCATGAAGAGATAATATTGTATTTTTTATATTCCCTACAATAAAATACTCTTACGGGTTAGGCTAACTGATTAAAACCATTATGAGTTTAAAATTTTTCCTTGCATCTTTTATGTAAGGAAATACACTCTTCTTAAGTTTTGTTCTAGGAAGTTTCCAGTGCAATTTCAAATTTAGGGAGATTTAACAAATAAACTATAGGCTACTACATTTTTATTAATCAAGGTATAGAATTTATTTTATTTTGTTTATTTTAATTTAATCTTTTATAATAAGGAAATAAACTCTTTATTAAGCTTTGTGCTGGACTGTTTACAATGTAAATACAAGATACAAGTTTATGGAGATTTTGCAAATAAAAGACAGCCGAATGTTATTAGTAGCCTACAAAAAATAATAAAATATGTTTTTCTTATTATTTAGCAAATTTTGGATTCAGCGGGCTTAATGATTTGTGGTGGTATAGCTCTTTTTCCCTTAAAGCTGCTTCGACCACAAGTGACCAACCAATCAATTGATCAATATAGAAGAAAAATAATTTAATTCACAATGAGTTAAGTTACGTTTTTAATCAAGCAATTGTTCATTTGGATTTGAAAATATGTTACTTTTACTTTTATTACTGGTGATAGTAATTGTGTTTTTTTTATTCTTCTTAATGCTTACAAGGATTAGGATGGTGTGACTAAACTCAAAATGGAGACAGGTAACATTGTATTAATGAATTAATTTATCTTCATCTATTTTGATAAGTACATCTGCACAAGCCTGTTTACCCTGTACAGCCATTATGTTAAAAGATTTTATAAATTAATTTAAAACAAAAATTTTGAAACAAATTATTTTTTTATCCTCTCCGTTATGCTGATTTAACATAGGCTTTGTCATTTTTTCTAACTTTTCCTCTATAAAAAATATCACACACCTTTACTCTTCTTATTTTTATTTTGTGAAAAATGTATTTATAAATTACCGTGGCCAAATTTGCTCAAAATTGAACGGCTGAGTATTTTCTATAAGTTATTTTATTTTTACTAAGAACTCCCGACATACGTTATCCTGTCCTAACGTGGTTTCATGTCAAATGCTCGTTTATTTTGAAGATGAGCTTGTTCGCTATGCTCACTCACCTCTTGGTTCAAAATTAAAGCATGTTTTTTTAACACATGTTATTGTATCCCACAGTTTAATTCAATCATTTTCATCCAATGCTAATGTAAAAGCAATATTTTTGAATTTTTAAAATCCAATTACTAAATAACAGTTAGTAGATGGATTATAAATTTCCTTAAATTAAATCCTTCCCCTGGCACTAAGGAACAGAACAAAAAAATAATCATCCAATATGGTGCACTCGTTCTTGAGTTATGAAATACAATCAAATAAGGGGATTCATTTTTATTTATATAGGTAGATAGATAGATAGATTATAAAACTGTTACAATATAAAAGTCAAATTTTACATTAGGATATATCAAAACTCATAGCATAGTTTGCGAATGTATGCACAAAGTATATTTTAAGTGTCCAGTATGTTTACCTTGTAACCTCAATGTTTTTATGAACTAGTGGGCTAGAATTGTGGTTGAAGGACTTCAGTCTAAAGGTGGGGAAAAGCTTAGCGTTAAGAGTACAGAAAAAGTGAAAATCTTTTTTTTTCCAACAATTGGGTCTATAAATTCAAGATATTATCTCAATTTTTCAGGAACAAGTGGGCTACAGCTGCGGGTGAGAGACTTTGTGCGCAAGTTGCGGCCTGAGCGAGTGCGGTGGCAGTGGAGACATCTATTGGCATCTGTAGACAATCACTGGCCTGCGTCCACAACCACTGACTCCTCCGTTTCATGTGACTCTCGCTCCGATACTCAGGTAATACTCACTCGTGGTCCTAAATGAAAGTGAGTAAGCAGCTTCCCTTACACCATGAGTCTTGGTCAGTATCAAAGCTACACAAGGAATCTCATTCCATTATAGATGTATCCTTTAGTTATCTTGGGGTTAAGATACATCAGTGCTGTGTCTTATAATGACTGTGCAGTTCATTCTTGAACTGTTGTACTGACTCACCCCTCGGTTTGTTTGAGGCTCATGTGGACGGGCCAGTTCAACGTTTAAAGAGGTCACATATACCTTTAAAAAAATCAACACTTTTTGCATTAAACTTAATAAAAGGCAAGGATTTAACACCATCGATTGTTCCTAATCACATATTTTGTTAACACTATTGAAAATATTTTAGTAAGATTAAGATTTTTTGAAGATTAGTTAGCTACCTACTTATACTGTAACGATACAATACGACGTTCATGTCAAAATTTAACATAATTTTATTGGCACAGAGAGAAGGGAGAGCCGAGTTTGAGCCTGTGCCCTCATCGGACTGTGACCTTGAGGTAGCCGAGATAACGGCTGCCACACAGACGAGATGCAAACCCTCCGCTGCTGACCAGCTCATGTCCTCGCTGAGCCAACTGCCTGTGAGTACATTCCGAGAGGTGTACACGTATCTATAATACTATAACATACTACTTGTAATGCATTCAAGAAAATGTAACCAGATAGTTAAAATCAGAATTAGCACACTTGTTGATAGGCCTACTGAAAAAAATATATGAGTGCGTTGCTAGCCTAAAGGTTAGTGTCTCAAACTTTAGTGTTAGAGGAACAAGATTGATCCCTTACATATTCACAACATTCTGAGAGATCTAACTGCTTTCCCAAGCGTTTGAGTTACTTTCTTGCAAAATGCCACTGGCAAAGGAAACAAAAGAGTGTTTCAGCTCAGCTAGATTTTTATTTTATTTATTTAACATATTTTAATGTAGTATTTAAGTTTATTGTTGTCTTACAAGTATCCTAATATTAAATATATTTTCAATATTCTCAAAATATACAACACTAGGACTTGCAAAACTGGATTTTTAAGTTCCTGACAGAAATATAACTATTTGACAATCTGAAAAGAAATAATAAAAGATTAGCCAGAACTAATGAATCCATTTTTTAAGCTTACAAGTTTTAATAAATTGAGGGAAGTATCTCAGGGCTACAAAACCTTATTTATGTAAAACATCTGGTACGTTAAAACATTAAATTAGTTTTAGCTAAGACTATCTTTTCTGTTTAGTACCGTCTTGTATTTGAGTATCAGCAACAAACTCAAAGTCATCTGACTATTTAGGTTTGAAAACACAAGTTAAAACTAGGTCTTTCTAGATTTTTTTTAGTATGTCTGATATCTTTGACTATCAATACAACATCCTATCATATTCATTACATCTCATCCCCATGTTAAATTTTTTGCCAGATTTTAAATAAAAATCTAAGTAGTTGATTCATTTTATTGTATGGACTTGGTAACAAAGCTAAGCTGATCAGTTCTATCTGAGTAGTTAGCATTGGTATTAAGAGCTATTATTAATAATTAGACCACATTATGAATAATTAATTAGTACTCAATAGAAATGTGGCGTGAGTTAAATTTACTCTTTCAGTTCAAAGTGAATCAAAGTGTTTCTTAAACAACCAAGCAAGTAAATATTTTTTGTTTATTCAATCAATTATGTGTGCGTTTATTTATAAATATTACTGATGGACCGATTACAGATTTGCTCAATACCGATTCCAAATCCAGAACTTTGGTTTCGATTTTCAATTATGCACTCGATACTGATACCTGTTATAAATGAATTTAATAACACATATATGTGTGCTTCGCTATCCCTATAAATAAAGGGGCATGTTATTTTTATTTAATCTTTGTAGAATAAGATAACTACTATATTGCTATTGATCAAGCAATATATATTATGGTTACATATTATGTAACCTTAATCAATAGCAATACAGTTATCTTATTAGATCTTATTAAGGTTATATAATATGTAGGTAACCTTAATCAATAATAATAATAATAATAATAATATATCTTTATTGCCGTGAAACAAATATAAAATTGCATGGCATCCGTCAACATTTAATACAGGTATAACAAGTGACAGCAAAACAAATAAATACAACAGCATAAAACAGTTAATAATACGAATGATTAAAAAATTACACAGAACTTGTCATTTGATTGATTTAGAACCTCAGAGCAGCCGAACACCATCTACTCATTTGGCAATAGCAATACATTTATCTTATTCTACAAAGATTAAATAAAAATAACTTGCTCCTTAATTTATTTTAGGTCATATTTTATTAGGTTAGCCTATAAGGAAAATACGATACTTCAAGAAGACATACATTTTAATGTATTTCATTAAATTTAATTTAAACAACCAACACCAGTTTATGTAGGCCTAAAGTTTTACTGATTTTTATTTTTCATTGACTACTATGAAGCGAAGTTTCAAGTATCAGTGATTCTTCAATACCGCTGGTATCGAGAATCGGAATCGGCCCATCCCTAATAAATCAAGTATTAGAGTCGGCAGGAGTAAATAGTTTTGTATTGTTGTTGACCGTAAAATGCCAGGCTAAACAGTGGTTGTCCTAGTGTCGATCAGCAAAATATGCGCTCACGTTAAAGCATATTAATCATACCCCATAAGCTTGATTACCAAGCAGAAAACTTAATGTGATTCTTAAATATGTTTTCCGTGTGAATTGCTTTTCCGATTTTTTAAACTTTTGTTTTAGAGGTTGAAAAAAATTAAATTTTATTTTAAGTCAATATATCTATGTAGTTAGACAAAATAAATAACGATTCAAATTAAAAAGTAGATAGCAAATCACATCCGCGGTTTCAATAGCTTTAAAATGAGATATTATGCAATTATTTGTCTTAATAAACAATGCCGTAATACGCTTCAACCATTAACATTGCCATTATGGGCAGAAAATCCAAGATGGCCGGCGGTCCTGCCAAATCTTAATAATGAGTGTGGTAAAACCTAAACTTTGAGTTTGTTTTTCTAACAATATATTTCTATTTTCAAAAGTTAAATGTTCTGTATATAGATGAGACCGATAATCTTTCTAAGGCACAGTTGATTGGTACAGGTAACTTACATACAATTCATACAGGAAAACTTACATACTTTCATCGATACTTATGTATTGTACATTTTACAAGTAAACATTGTACATTTAAGTACTGATATATAAATAGCAGAATTTCATTCACCTAATTACAGCTACTTCTACAATATTTTACCTGTTTACATTATCATCTTTTTTAATTCAATTTTTAGGCTATCAGATCTAGGGCCAGTCTATGAGGATCGGATATAAGAGGATGTAATAGTCATGTACAGACTAAACAATTGTAGTAATGGATGAAATTTGATTTACAGGTGACATCAACAGATGAGGAGCTCAGCAAGTCGGCAGCCATTGCGGGGAATGGCGGGGGGAGTGTGCGGCCCTGCGAGCTGTCACTGGGCGGGGGCGGTCTGGTACCCCCCGCGTCCACGCCCCGTAACAAGTCCCCCGTCACAGTGCAGGAGTGGGTCGACTCACTGCCACTCACTCCTACTGACACTGACGGCCAAGTGAACAGGTCAGCAAATGCTGTGGAATCGGTACTTTTAAAAGAACTTAAACTTTACCCAGGGAGAGATTCCACAAGATACAATCTTTGATTATTGATAGAAGTAGATATTCCATTTCCATATTGAAACTGTTGCCAATTTTAAAATACAAATAAACATAATTGAACTAAGGCACCAACAGTACCTTATGTCAGTAACCAATTTTGTTTTTAATACGCCACCTTTTTAAGTAATACAAACTGAGAGTATAGCTTGCTGTTAGCTATATAATCTTCTTGTCATAACCAAGTATCACATGTTAAGAAAGGAAATATAATTTAAACAGTACCGCTAGCGCACTTTATAAGTAGCTATTCAACTCTGTTCTTTTTCTTATAAAAAATTGGCTACAGATGGTCTATATAAGCACACATATTTTGGTATCCAATGATCAATGATACAATGCTTGTATTGGATTGTAAATATTTCAAACAAAACTCTGAAACTCAATTATATTTTCACATAATTTTATATAAACTCTTTTTTTTACTCTCATTACTATTACATTACATTCTTTAACATGTTTGTCTGGTGTTGTAGGGCAGAAGAAGAAACAGAACCCCGTATTGTTCTCACTCAGGACTCTGACGACAATCTCACGCTAGGAGCTGAAGGTAACGGCTGAATCAATAGAATACATATACAACATACAATTATACAATATACAGCTGTATAACACAAAACCATGCAACTTAAACCAACATCATACAACGTACAATTAAGGCTCACAATCTATTTTGATTTTTGTATCGATAACAGTACACTCTCGATTTTCCAAACCCCGGTTATCCGAGCCTTCAGGTTGGTACGAGGTTGTTTTAGGCCTATATGTATTTTTATTTTCGGAAAACAATAATTATGTTATTACAAATGTCTCTGTTAACAGTACAGTAAAAATAGCTAGTAATTTGTTATTTGTTAAAATAAATATAGCATAAGAAAATTAAAATTGTGGAGCAAGTTTGAGTCACTGTTTTTTTTTTTTGTTTTTTTTTATAACACTAGTTAACACAGCTTTCATAACACACATTATTAAAAAAAAAAATTGTAGGCTATTAAAATACCAATTGTATATATTTTACAAGTATTTTACTTCTTAATGATATACCGTAGCCCCTAAAGCCGGGTTTTCCTAGGCGCGGAAGTGTAGAGCGGACTCCACTTGTTTTAGGTAATTTAATGTTACTGTTTTCCTAGGAGCGGAGCGGAACACTGTGTTAAGTTCTCTTCTGCTCTCTACGTTCCTCTCTCCGCTCTCCGCTTCCGCGCCTAGGAAAACCCAGCTTAACCTCAAAATCCAAGAGATCTCAGTGTTATCCGAGATTCTCAGTAACCGAGGTTGTCGGTTGTTTCGGTTCCAACAACCTTGGTTAATCAAGAGTGTACTGTAAAACAGTAACTTGTATAAAATACCCCTGCCGCAGCAAACCTGCAGACTAAGCGAATTTCCATTTGCCTGATTGGATTTACACAAAAATGTCTCCATAAAAAAACACATTTATTCGCTATTTAAACAGAATTAGTTTAACTAGTACATAGTAGGCTACATAGTTTGCTGCAACTGGGAGGGTAAAACAGTTTTTTTTAATGTTAATAGTTTGGTAAGAAATAAATGCATTTTCCAAATTTGATCAAAATATGTTCATAAACAAGCAAACTACACCAGTTTACTTATTCTCCATAAGAATAACATGGGAATTTTAAATTTAAGATTTTTTTGGAATTTTCTCCATAGCCATTATGCGCATAATAACACTTTAATATACCGGTACTAAATTATTTGTTTTTTAAGCTCTACAAAATTGTTTGGAATGAATTTGCTAAATTTTATGGTTTTCTTTTGTCAAAAAATGAGTAAAACAAATTTTTACCCCATAAAACCCCGTTCCCATAGTCCAATCATGCTAATTTGCGAACTCGTTCGAATAAATGTAGGGCTTATTCCTTATATGGGAAATTCGCTAAAAGTAGTTAATCTCTGTTTAGCTATTTGTTTGGTATGTATAGTTCAGCTAGCTTTCGTCAAACAATGTTGAGTTTTGGGATGATTTGTAGATACCTACATAATAAAAGTCACAAAACATTACTCTAGTATTTTGTCCTGGTCTTCTTCTGGTAGTAAATTAAAGAGAACCAAAATGTTAATGCATTTGCATGCATGTATTTATCCCCTATTAGACAAAGAATAGAAAGAAGAATCTTATAAATATGTAAGTTTTATTATACCATTCATTTATACATGTATTGTGTACGTTGCAGCGGGTTTAATGTGTGGTCCACTGCCTCCAGCCGTCCAAGTCACCAGGTATGAATAGATAAATATTATGTTGGTTTGAAGTAACTTTGGTAAGAATTAAATTAAAACAATTTCATGCTTATCAAAATAAATGTCACCAATACAGGGTCTATGTCTATACATTTTTCTGATGTAAGTTTAAAAACTGAGGGACAATATTTACTTGTATGGTAATTGTTTTATCTTCCGAATTATAAAGCGCTTTGCTTGTTAGTTAAATAATGTTGACCTATTTTATATCATTTATCATTGGTATATACCTTAGTGAAGTAGTAGGCCCTCTAATCTTGACCAATTGGAACTAAAATGTTTTTGGACCATTAGTAAAATTGTTTCGTTATGAAACACCCCCCATTTTTGATACCACAAAGCTGTGTGATAATGTTTCTGATTCACAACATTGTTCTGTAGCCACCAAGAGCCCAGTGAGAGTGACAGCCATTGTAGCAGCGTAGAGTCGTTGCTGGAGGCTCGACGCCCTGACCCTGAGGAGGTTCTGTTTTCACTGGGGTTTGGAGGTGCAGCCTCGTCTGAGTGTCGGATACCCCAGCGGTTCCTGCAGCCTAGCAAACTGAAGGGGGTCGCCATCGACGACTTTCTCAGGCACCAGCAGGAGGTGGTCACCAATTTTGAGACTGGCTTCTACGGTTATAGAGGACTATCTGGTGAGTCATAAATGTTTTTTTTTTATTTTATGTTTCTTAAAAGTGAAACAAAAACTCATCTATCCTTTACAATACAGTAGGTGTGTCTCGTACTGTTCTGTGCATTAAGACAGCAAAGCACTGTCACAGTATAAGTGTAAGTCGCATGATCTAGTCAGCGGTGACAACAGGGATCAAATAGTCCATGACTGTGGTCTTGAGCCAGCAATATCACTAAACTAACGCAGATCACGTTAAGACGTGTATCACTGAGCTAACATTTTTGGTGAATAAGTTTGGCCGTACAATTTATGTAGTTTCTCGTTTGCTCTATTCGATTAGTTTTGGTTTCTGTTTTTCAATTGATCTGGATTCTCCTATTGATTTTGGTCATGTCCCAAAGCCCCAGAAAAGTCTAGAGGGCAGCATAACTATATGAAACCATGATTTTCTACTTAGCTGCGTCATAATACAAACCATAAGATTCATCTATAAAAGATAAAGACCAGTCAAAGGTTATTTTTTTTTTACTTTATCTCACTAGTTTTGGTTTCTGTACTCCAACTGATTACTGTAAGTCATGTCCCAATAATGTTTTACCAAAATCATGTTTCTATCAAATGTTTGGTGAGTTGGTGGCTTGGTCGGTAGCGCCACAAACTTTGAGCGCAAGGCAGCAATGTCTTGGGATCGGATCCTGGTTTTGTCACTACTTTTTATCAGTACCGGCTCACCCATTGCTTTGCTGGATATGTTTCACGCACAGGCCTATGTGGTCAGGAAAATTCAAGGTTATAAAAAACTTAGAACAAGCAAAGGATAGTGTTAAGTAGTAAATTTTGAAATTTCTGCTGGTGTAATCGAGTAATAGAAAACTCCTAACCCTAACTTAACTGAAAGAAGGGAGTCGTTGGCTTAGGCCAAGTTAAGAACCAAATTTAGTCCTCCCGTCCTGCTGTCGTTCTTGGGATCGTAGTATCTTTAAGTGTTGCCAACTTAGTTTAAAGATTACTCGTATTACGTTTTGTGTTATTTGGTTGGAATACTAAAGTGCTGCAAAAAAATAAGTGCGGCAATTAGCTACTTTGCGTGCTATAATCAGTGCAAGAAGCCCACTTTGTCAGGTAACTGTAGGAAATAATATATTTCGTACCTACGGCCAAAAATGAAGTTTTGCTGACTCGAGATCATTTTTAAGTTCGAGCCGGGGGTTCAAAATGTGTTGCTGAGGTAAAATAAATAATAATAATGCAATACAGTTTAAATTTTCAAACATGTTTATTTAAGACAGTTATTAGGTAAACACAATTACTAATTTACAATACATTAAATTTGTTGATTTGAGATCTACATCATAATTTGATTCGTTCAATCATCAAAAAGTAGCCTATTCAACATACATAAAAAAATGACACCTCAATTATAATAATTGGTTATGTTGGACAGCTGGAAAAAGGATGTAACAGAAAAAACCCTTATTGTATTAAATATACATATATTTAGGAAAATATTACTGTAAGTGATATCAATATTAATACATAGTTTTAAAAAGTTGTTAAATAACCAAAATGGCTGTGAAAGTTTAGATATCTAATATTACACTGAGTAAACCACAAGAGTTGAGACCAACTGTTAACCAAGAATACATACATTGTGAATATTGTGATGTGACAGCTTATGTAATACAGACTGTAATCTATTTATCTAATATAGACTGCAAACTGCAATATAAGTGTGATCCTGTTTCCAGGAGCTAACAGTTTGATCCTTCCTACCACAAGCCGCAGGACGTGAGTCAGCATGACTCGTAGTTTTTGTGTGTTTTTTTTTATATTTTTAAGTGTAATTTTTTCTCCTATAGGCCTACAAATTTATTCAAATATTGAAACTATCGGTAACTACACTCATTTGTTTTTTATTTTTTGGTCTGTTGAAACTACGTTTTACATGTTTTTCTTTTGTGACTTTAACCACTGGTTTTCGTTACCATACACTGAGATTTTTTTCATTTCTTATTCTTATTTTTAAACTTATTTGACGCTTAAACATATCAGACATTCTATATTTTAATTTTCAATTGTCATTTGCACTCGCAATAGAGAATGTGAAAATGCATGTATGTTTTGTTTTAGTCTGTATCACTTTTAGTTTATTTTTATTATAAATTAATACATTTACTTAAATATTGTTTGTTTTGTATGTTTACAGAATGTTACTCAAATAAAAACAAAAACCAGTGTCTTCTTGTGACCTACTTAGTAAACGTTTAAATTATAGTCTTGAGATTGATTTACATCCTTCATCTCATACATTAGTTAATCTTTGCATTCTTTACAAAATAGATTTTCTTATGCATTCAAATGGAAAGTAATAATTAATTTGTACATAATTACAATAACCCATAAGAGTCCAGTCGCAAAATGTAGGCAAGTAGAACTACACTTAGGCCCTATTCAATATCTCCTTTCATGAAACACACCACAAAATTTTGAGCCAAAATATTACCAACTTTTGTTGTTCCTGTTGAGCTTAATGCTTTTTTCATCTCCTATCAATGAAAGGTTGTTGGTTTGATGCTGAGAAAATCTAGTAGCTCTTTGATGGTTTTAAACTGAAGAAGCTGTGCTTGATCATTGGGCTCTTCAATGGTCCTGGTTTAAAGAACCTCCTAATTTTAGTCATTTACAAAGCTAGTATCTTATGCATTTAACATTAATCCTCCAATCATCTTAGCTTTAAAATACACACCCAAATATAGAAATATAATCTATAAAAAGTTCATCCTGTTCGGTTCGCAGGTCCTTCTCATACGATGCCTTCAGTGATCGTTGCCAAGATTATGGAGAAGCTGCGCGAGCACGAGAGAGAGAACTGCTCGGTCGCATCGCCCCCGCACGTTTCTACAAACACTGACCGCAACAATCGCTTCACCCGGGCGGCGCGCAACGTCATCACCAACCTCAAGTGAGTGCTGCATACACCTACAATACCTAATCCTTGGACGATTAACTGACTATCTAGACAACTGTGCTAAAAGAAATAGTCCCAAACAATTAAATGATGTGCAAGGCCATGATTCTCATACTGGGTAGCTTATTATGGAAAAAAACACATGGTAGTCAACTGTGAAAAAAGGATTAAGGACTTTTTAATGCATTAAAGATGGGAATTTCCTTTACTTTGAAGTAATAGTCATAAGTTTTGTAGCTTTTCCTACAGTATGAATACAGGATCAGTGTTTTTTTTTCACTCCCTAGTTCTAACAGTTCAGACGAAGCTACAAAAATAATTGTATTACCATATTATAAGGTACCACAATGATGCTCACCGTTAATAGGAAGACACGATCAGCGTTATTTCACTCGCTCATTCTAACAGTTTAGACCTCTGTCGTTAGTAAAATAATAATCTATTACCATGGTACTATTATTTTATGATGCTCGCTGTTAATAGCAATATGCAATCAGTGTGATAGTTACTGTATTTCATTCATTCTTTTAAACCGTTCAGAATGGTTTCCAAAGTAATACGGGTATTCTCAATACCTAATACCCATGTTTTCAGGCTAGAGATGGTGACAGTTCAGTAATAGGCTAGTATCCTAGTATGTTAAATGACACCTACTCTTAGCTTAAGGTATGTTTTATGCAAAGTTAATTTTTAACATCCTTTGTTTTATAGGAGCCCAGGGAATTCGGTTCTGACACCGGACAATCGAGCATGGCTGGACAGTCAAAACCAAAGGTAAGAAATGCAAAAACAAAATTATGTATTCCCATTCCAATAATCTATATTCTATAACATCATATTTTTTTTTATTTTCAGTTATCTTGCTGAATCTTATGTAAATATTATAAACTGTGAACAATAGTACATGTAAACAAAGGAGGGTGAATCAAAAACAAGCTGTACCTAGATTGCAAAGTTTGAAAAGAGGAAAATTTAGTAATTACCCAACAAAATGGTTGTTTCCTGTGTTATTATTGTGCAGTAAAAAAAAATAAGAGTTTGTCAACATTTGTTTACATTAGGTGTAGGTTTAGGTAGTAAAACTGGCCAGGCACTATAAATCAGTGGATGCTAATTGAATAAATGATTTTATTTCCATTAAAAAATTACAAAGTAAAAAACAAACATATCATTGGAAATATAACTGGCCACTTGATCAAGTTGTGTGGTCAGTAGAGAAAATTATTTAACAATCTAAAAATAAACATTAACCAACTAGCTCATATATAAAATGACACATGCTCACTCACTCACTCACTCTTTATTACATGTCTTACTGCTATCTATCCTAGCATCATGTCTAAACGGCTATGCTACCAACTCTCTGCGTGACCAACGGGTGGCTGGTAGCCCCGGGTTGTCCCAGGACTGTCAATGCATCTGTTCCCGTGGTACGGCATGGAGTCGGCTGCATAGCTAACTCACTCCTGTGGTACGGCATGGAGTCGGCTGCATAGCTAACTCACTCACGCTAAGCATTTATTTACACAGTCACACTTCTCATTCACACTTACACCTAAATGAGTACTACGCACTTGAATGATCGAACACAAAGTCAGAAAATTGAGCTTGAGCCTAGCTTTTACTAATTCTATGCTATTGCCACTGCAGAACAAGAAGATTGTACAGTTTAAAAATTCATGCTTTTCCTGTGATCGCAGGGTACAATAATATATCCCCACGAACTCAAAGGATGTTTGTGATTTCTCAGCTATAGACAAAAAAATTTTTTTTAATAAAATTTATTTTGCCGCAAAATACAATGAATGATAAATGTAAAAGCACAACTTGAACAAAAATCTCATGCTTTCACACCTTTATCATTTACTCATTCACATAATGCACGGAAAGCTCAGAAGTTGTCCAAGTAATCTGATGTAGTGTACAGCTACCATTAAAAACAGATTTGTAATTATAAGAACGGTGAGAATCATTTTATTTTTTGGTTTATTCTCATAACAAGTCAAGAGTCTGGGTGACATTAAGATACAACATGACCAAAGTTTGCACCTTTCAAAACATTACACAATTCTGAACCCGTGTGGAAATACATGTAAATAAACTAAACTAGCCAAACCACTGTATGATATTGCAGTATTCAGTAGTTTTTGTCTCATAGCAGTCTTGATAACATAGCATCTGTAATGTGATTGTTGTTGTAGATCACCAGAAGTGAGTCGGAAGAGAATCATCATCGGACAGCAGTCGTTCACTTTCAGTCGGGACGGAGATCTCATAGAAAGCCCTCCCTCCAGTCTTACTGACAGCGACAGGTACTAATTCAATACTTTCAATAATTAACTATTGTTTGTGTTAGTTAATGAGATATTCATTGTCATCTTTTTAGAGAGCAAAAACACATTTTGAACTTGCTTGCTTGGTCGTATATTGCAGTATGAAGTTTTGTTTTAACTGTTTCAAACAGTAAACTATCGTGTAATGAATTGGCCCCTGGATTAATGGTTTATTCAAGAATAGTTTTTTTATAAATTTACTAGTGTTACATTACTACCCATGGTTTCAGACTTCTTGAGTCTATCTTGAGGTGTCACAGGAACATCTTAATGAATGTGTCATCTAGCCAATGTATCCAGATCTGTTGAAATCATCGAAAATTCACACCTAAAACATGTACATACGACAAATAAACATAGAACGTATAGCAACTAGCCAGTTAGAGTATAAGGTTACAAGCAACAATGGAAGATGAGCAATTCAAAATGTTAGTGCTACTCGAGAAAGAATTCCATTTATGAACACTGGTAGATTGAAATATATTTTTAAGTGTCAACAAATATTCCAAAATCTTTAATTTAAAATTTACAACTCTGTTAGCAATGCATTTGATATGTATTTAAAACTCAGTTCTGTTAAATGTTAAACAGCAGATGGACGAGTAGCACCGGCACCCCAGGGCTTCAAAAGAACGATCTCTCATTGGACAAACCAAGCTTCCCCTCCATACAGGAGGCGGGAGAACCAGCTCCCCCCTCCCCTCCAACCACTGTTCCCCGCCATGCCTTTGCCAACATAGTCACAACTTTGCTGGCAGAGAAGAATCAGGTATTGTTAGGTTTTTATTTCAACATAATTTTGTTTATGTAAACAAGTCTTTTTTATGACAACAACCATTGATCATAAACCTACTAGGTAGCAGTTTAATTGATTCATTAACAATGTTTTTAGGAATACAAGACATTTGATTTTAAAGCGGTTGAGTTTAATAGTAAAATAAATTGTAAATAGCAAGTCAGTAAATAAAGAAAATGAACAAACATGTTTGAGTATCTCACATGTTGGTTGGGAGACACACTTCTTGAATCCAACAGCAACAGAACTACTTCCTTTAAATTGAAAAGGTGAAAGAAAATTGCAGGATGTTTAAAACTGGTTTTGTGGATAAGCCAATGATTCATTGGTCAAAGAAGTAAAACAAAATGGATTTAGTATGTTGTCAGTAGAAATTCCTCTTTTTATCCTCTAGTAGTACATTATGTGTAATTAGTTGCCATTTTGAATTTGATCTAATTTATACTTAGCATTTTTACACAAACCAATAGTAATAGTTACACCAGAAACATTACAAAAAATGTACTTTCTTCCTTCAGGAATCAAAGTTGTCAAGCTCTTCAATGGAAGCCCGCTCTTTGGGTGACAGTGGTGTTGGATTGCCGTCAAGCGGTCGATCGTCACGTGGAGTTGATGAGTTTGACAGTCCTGACTACGGCACGAGAACAGGAGCTGTCACCGTCGAACAACCTCTTCCAGAGACCCCCTCATCCCTCGAGGTTTTTCCATCACCAGATTCCTCCGGATCAACTGAAACTGCAAATGCACCTAGTGAATCTCAGGAAACTGTGTTGAATGAATCTTTTTTACCATCCATATCAGTGGATGAAACTTTGGCCAGCGAGTTTAGAGAAATTGATAGTAGTTTAGACTCAAAAAATGATCAACCAAATTCCAGTAGCATAGCACATATTAGTCAAGTTGAACTATTAAGTGAAGCTTGTAACGATGAAGAAACTTCTATTAGGTTAGGATCGGATTTTTATTCTAATACCAATTTACCGACGGGTAATCCTAGTATAAGTGATAAACATAGTGAAAAAAGTGTCAGTGTGACAGATTCAAACGTTTTAGAAAAAGCTTCTGTCGCGTCTAACTCATCAAGTATCCTGGAACGGCCTAAGGTTTATACTAGTCTTCAATCTTTTGACACATCAACTTCTTGTACTAGTCCGTTTCCTAGCCTCGCGAGTGAGTTAGAACAAGCACAATTGAAAGAGCAAGAAAAACCACCTGTAGTTAACAGGGAGACAGAATCGCAAGATGAGGAAGAATCTCACCCATCAACCTCAGCTCCAGTTCGAGTCATTGAGAGTCTAGACAAGGTAATAGAATCATTAGAGAAAATCATGGAGCCCCTGGAAGTCATCACGGAAAGCAGTCTTCAGTTCAACTCAGCCATTAGATCTCAATCAGATAAGGTACATCTCTCTAAGGTTAAGGTGCTTTCTTTTGTACCTATTATTGCTCATACAGAGTAGGCTATACGTTTGTATAGAATGTTGGTTGGTTAAGCTACTTTAGTTAATGTGGTATTCTAAATATATATCTGCAGCCTGATTTCCTAGATTTCCATTTTTACATTTCTAGACTTAAAATAAATATCCTGTAATTAAATTGAGGTCAGTCAGGTAGCAGTTTGAGTAGTCTAATGTTTTGATCAACTGATATCTTTATCTAAATGTTATTGGGTTGAGTTGAATTAGTTTATCTATTCTACCCTGACTAACCTAACCTGTTAACCATTGTGTCTGGTTTATGCTTTGCTGTACTAGTATCAATGTCCGGTTGATAAGAATGTTTTCCTGAAGAATCTTCTTCAAGGAAGAAACAGGGTTGTGACAGAATGTGGTTTTATGTACAACTGTAGAAATTTAATTTAATTATCAGTAGAGGCTCGATTATCCTACCTAAAACGGCCACGGCAAGGTCGGATAACACAGAAAATGATAAAAACAGTGTTTGCGCTGGCGCTGTGACCTCGCAATGAGTTGACGATCGCGCTGCGATTGTGGGACATGTTCACAATTGTGTCGGGATCGCGGTAGATGTTCAAGATGACACCGTGACTTTGATTGGGGAATTCGTACTTTTTAATGGAAAATGTTGATGCCTTGTTCACTTTTGGTTTTACTTTTTATAACTACTGATTCTGTAACAAGGGTTACCAATGAAAAGCTCAATGATAAATATAAGTTGAGTACAATTTGTTTTTACTCAGGTAGTAATTTCTGTTTAGGAAAAACTTGTACATAGCTTCGAAGATCTCAGATCACTTGCAAAACAACTTGTGGTAAGTATTTTGATATTACTTAAGATGTATTGTTTTTAATCACTAATAGATTGCTTAAAGTTTTTTTAATATGATGGAGGGTTTACCTTTTATAAATAAATATTATAAGAATAGGCTGAATCCGCTGCACTAAATACTACTGTAGTTAACCCACTGGCATATTTCCGTCCTGCCGCTAATGTGTTCTGGCATTCCTAGACGGAACTGTTCCATCCATGGACATTGCCACTAGCTCTACATTATTCCAAGGGATCACAGCACTTGTCGGATCAATAATTTTGTTCTATCTATTTGTAATTGTGACACTGTATATTGTCTGTATTTTTAAATTATTTGGTTGACTTGTTCTGTTTTGGAAAACAAAAATATTAGTTAACAAGTGGGAGTTATAAGGTTATGTTTTGTGTCAAAATGTCGCGACTGTCTGTTTACGATTGAGTGAAATAGACCGATATATAGATAATTTGCAAAAGTCTCCCAATATTTCTGAAGAGGAAGATATAGTCATTTTAAACATAATCCAGCATAATCAATAAGAAAGTTATAGTTGTATTTGTAAGTCACTAAAAGAGCCAATCAATTGAAACTAGAGGCCGCCCCATGGTTGAAAACTCTAAACATCTGATTGGAATTTCTTCCATCTGTTTTGATTTTATTTTTCTGTTAATATTTCATTGTTATTTCCTCATCAGCATGGCAACACATAAGGCCATGTTATTTTTGTATATTAAATTCATTTTTTGAGCCATTTTTTAGCCTATTTTAATTTATAAAGAGATTCTGCACATCTACAGGTAAATATCTTTTTAACAGTATGCGTATATTTTCCCTGTGATGCACACGAGCTGAGGAAAAAGGTTTTTAAGAAACATGGTTGCCTATTGGGTTCTTCTATAGCATGGGATATAGGATTCTTGTGTGTAGGTAGTGCATTTTTTGTATGCAAATGGGTTAACAAACTGTAATTGGTAAGATGTGTCTATAGTCCTATTTATGTATTATATTGTGTTATATTTATTTATATTGTTATATTTGATATTGTGTTGTTGTATTTTCTCTTCTATTTATCATATATTTGACTAAAGTTGGCTGTTAAACGCTTTCAAAACTGTTCCTTATTTAACTACTTTTATGTTATACATGTTGACCGTTAAAATGAATAAATAAAGTAACAGAAACATCTTACTTATTAGAAAATGACAGGTCATGTTACAATTTATTTTACTTTTGTTGTTTTTTATCAAGTAGACACTGATTTTCACACATTTCTTTTAATTGTGTATAGAAAAAAAAAACACTTGTAATATTCTTTTCTTGGACAAAAAATCTATACCAGAAAGTTTTGATTTTGTTTATATTTAGAGCAGGCTTTCCTCTACAGTGTACCTACACTCTAAAGTGTTAACCTACACTCTTTGCCCTCTTGTCTCTTTGCTCTTGACCCTCTTCTTTGCTATTGAGAAGACTCACCCACTGTACAGGCAAGCCTGCTCTTCTTATCGGAAACAAAATCAAATCTCACTTCTAACATAAGTTAGTAATTTCCATTTTCTTTCTCCTGAATAACAATAATTTTAAATTTCCTTATGCGCTTACTCCCTTATACTCTCTTGTTCATAAAAAAATACATTTTATGTTTTATGTATGGAAATCATTACCTGTTGTAGGATATCAACTTGTTCATTTCTGCCAATGCTTGTGATGAAAGGATTAAGAATTAGTTATTTAGTAGTCATTAAGTCCAAATTCATGCATCAAGTTTTACATTATTTTTTGTTACAATTTCACAGGAGGCTAAAGTACCAGTTGAAATCGGCAGTTGTGAACACTTTCTGAACTTGACCATCAATGAGGTATGAACTATTTTGTCATTCACGAATATTATAATGACGCTATTTATTGTATTGCTGTACATGAAACAAATAAAGAAGATTTGAATTTGATTGGTAAAAAGAAAAAGTAATTTTATGCATAAATTAGAAAAATAGGGATGGCAGCTAGCCTACCTTAGAAAAAGTGTTATTATTGTTATTATTGTCTATAACATTATTGATTGAAAGAGTAGCCTAAAATAAGATCAATTATCATATTATAAGGCTAAATTTATAGAAGTTAGTAAAAATTTTAATGTTTACTATTTGTCATTTGGATATAGTCACCAAAACCAGTATAAAAAACTAAATAGTGCATCCTTCAATTGAGAGAGAGAGTGGATTGAGTCATTGATGAGAACTCAGAAATACACAACATTATGATGCAGATTAAGCTGTTTGGGAATGTTAGAGTTTTACTTGATGAACACTCACCAAGTTTACTGACTTTAACAGAATTTTGAAAAATCATCCTATTGACAGAAACTTTACCATCGCCATTGGACTTAACTGGCATTCCTCTGCTTTCATACATGATTTGCCAGCGTTTTGCTACTGACCAATACAACATGTGTACAAAGTTGTTCAGATCTAAATTAGACCCTCCCCTTTTACCCCAATTACCAAACAATTCTCCCATTGCAGACAAAATTGTGTTACAAAACATGAAAGTAGAGTAAAAAAAATATTTTTTTTTTTTTCAAAAACAGAAAACTGTTACAGATTATTTTCAAAAAAATTATTTCACGGTAGTTTATGTCTTGTAAATATTTTATTTGATCTTGGAGACTAGATCTTCTTTGTGCGAGTGTCATTGTGTTCAAATACGTGTGTTATTCATTTTAATTCCTGTCAAATAACTCATTCAGTAATCAGTAATGTTTTGATTCAATATAAACATGTTAATTACCATAATTTAATACTGTATTGTAATTTAATACACTTTCCTATTCAATAGTATTTTGCGGATTAACCACGATTTTACGTATCCAGGAAGCCTCAACACTACTTTATCCCGGTTAATCGGGAGTTGAGTATCACAGGTTGAGGTTGCTACCTCTTTAAAAATGACTTCACACCTGTCAGAGAATGGACATCAACTGAAAACAATGTTTTGAGATGGCAAATCACCAAACAAACATTCACCCTTCCCAACTTGCGGTGCCACCTTCACATTGGTGCTTGTGGTGTTATTGGCTGACTGATTGTCATCAAATGATTTCAGAGATGTGAGCTGCAGTGTAGGGTTGTGAGGCTGGCACTGTCTAGTTATCAGTCTCACCTGGCTCAAGATACATCTCACTACGAGCTGAAGTGTTGTCTCAGCGTAGAGGTCTCCAGATTGTCTGACTTGCTGGACACAGCCTCTGATCCCGACATGCTCAACACTCTAGTCAAGCAGGTTTGTGCTGCATCATAGTGTGTTTACGTTTACATTCTTTGAATTTACATTAAAACATCATTTTTCGGCAGTAATGGATTTTACTTACTGTAACTTTTATTTAGCTATAGGCGCTACTATACCTCCTTAAGTAGTGTATAGTTTAATTTTTCTCAATACAAAGAAATGTACTTTTTTACCAGGATTTAGGCAATGGAATGAAAGAATTCTCGGTGGATCAGCATAGATTTTTTTAACTGAGTCATGTTGGTGCATCGTGGTACAGAAAAAATATACAATCTTTTGTTTTGGGCGGAAACCTGGTTAGGCTAAAATTGCAGCATTGATTGCTTTGAAAAAGTACAGACTTGGAAAAAAATTTAATATTACTATCGATCAATACAAAATATTTTACATGATCTCCCTCATATCACAGTAAAATTGTGAACATCTTCCGTGGTCTTGGCGGAATCGTGATGGTCTTCCACAGTCACAGAAAGATTAATTGGGAATGCCTTCCGCAGTTATAGTGAAATCGCGAACATCTTCCACATTTATCAAGACATGTTTATTGACGTTTGTAATGCAATGTACTTTGTCGACTGCAATAAAAGAATTATTATTATTATTATTATTATTTATGACAAAATCAAGGACATCTTCTGCAGTCTCTGTGAAATCGTAAATGTGTCCTTTGGGCTCGACAAAATCATGAAAATCTTTTGCTGTCACAGTGAAATTGTGAATTTCTGCCGTCAAGGCAAAATTGTGAACATCTTCTGTTGACACGGCGACATTATCATCATCCCCCACAATTAATTGCAGCAAAACTGTGAACTGCATACTCGATTGTGGCAAAATTGTCAATCTTCACAGACACTTTCTGTGATCGTAAAAATTAGAAGCTTGGCTCAACCCTATCTGATTTTGACCAAATGCAATGTATTAATTTTCCCTCACCCATCCCACAGGCCAACTGTTAGCCCGACCTGCCCAAAATATTGGGAACCACTAGAATCCTGTTTTCTTACCATTTTAAGGTGACTAAGCAATCATTGGAATTATTTAATTTTTATCTTATGAAACCAAACTTACCTGCTGTCTATATGTATAGTTGATTATATAATTTGTATTAATGTATTATGCTAATTTAGAAATTTCAAATTTTTAGATGACTGAACTTTTGAAACATCAAGCAGAGTTGAGCAAAGAACTTGATCAGTGGATGAGTCAATCAGCTGAGGAGGCACCAGGGTGTCATCAGCTGTGCGAGGTGGTGTTGCGTCGTCTGCGAGCTCTGGAGCTGCTTGTCCACCGCAACACACAGGCACTCTCTGACCTGCGAAACCAGGTGTCTCACTGACCAAGTGACGTACACTAGACAAACCAATCAGCTGAGGAGGTGCCAGGGTGCCATCAGCTGTGCGAGGTGATGTTGCGTCGTCTGCGAGCTCTGGAGCTGATTGTCCACTGCAACACACAGGCACTCTCTGACCTGCGAAACCAGGTGTCTCACTGACCAAGTGACGTACACTAGACAAACCAATCAGCTGAGGAGGTGCCAGGGTGCCATCAGCTGTGCGAGGTGATGTTGCGTCGTCTGCGAGCTCTGGAGCTGCTTGTCCACCGCAACACACAGGCACTCTCTGACCTGCGAAACCAGGTGTCTCACTGACCAAGTGACGTACACTAGACAAACCAATCAGCTGAGGAGGTGCCAGGGTGCCATCAGCTGTGCGAGGTGATGTTGTGTCGTCTGCGAGCTCTGGAGCTGATTGTCCACTGCAACACACAGGCACTCTCTGACCTGCGAAACCAGGTGTCTCACTGACCAAGTGACGTACACTAGACAAACCAATCAGCTGAGGAGGTGCCAGGGTGCCATCAGCTGTGCGAGGTGATGTTGTGTCGTCTGCGAGCTCTGGAGCTGATTGTCCACTGCAACACACAGGCACTCTCTGACCTGCGAAACCAGGTGTCTCACTGACCAAGTGACGTACACTAGACGAGCCAATCAGCTGAGGGGGTGCCAGTGTGTCATAAGCTGTGCTAGATGGTGTTGCGTCGTCTGCGAGCAAGGTGTCACTCTGACCTAAGTAGATTTAGCAAACCCTCTCGACATTCTGATTCTACTACAATTTTAAATTACTCTTTTATTTAACTAAAAGAAGTTCTTTTAGATCTTTGCACACACTGAGTTGAAATTTCCCATATTTTTATGAAATTCCTACAATTACGGTTGTAGATATATTTAATATCACTCACAAATCACACAAATGAAACTTTGATTTGGTAAATTTTTGAGCTTATTACCTTCTTTGCCCTGAATCTTTTTCCTTTTGTGAGTAACAATGGAACTTTTAGTTTGAATAAGATATGTATATGTATGTTTTGTACAACTGTTTGTATGGCATTATGCTGTTTTTTAACTTGTACAATGACAAAATGCAATTAGCTTAAGCATTGCACGTTTAGAAAATTTAGACTTTGGTCAGGAAAAACTCTTTCAACTAAAATGGTTTCTTCACCAAGCTGGATGTAATATTGAAGCTTTTTAAAATCTATCTCAGTTTGGAACAACTTTGAGAGGTTATTTTTTAAATAGCTTAAATGACAATTTTTATCATAAAAATTCTTATACACCAGTTATATCTCACAATGAATTCTGAAACTCATAAAGCTGACTTGTCAACAACTTTTTGCTGAGTTTTACATGCCTTGTACTTAAATTAAGTGATTACTCAACTTAAAATAACCATTTTTATATCCTAAAAAAGAATTCCCAATCTTATTTTAAGGCTTTATGTAGGCTAAATATTTCAACTTAAGTTTATGATGGATATTTAAATCCTCAGGAAAACGTTTTGTTGTGCAGCTAAAGTAACCAAAAAAGTTAATTTCATAGCTCGACTAGACAATATGAAAATGCTACATACAAATTATAGTACTGCAAAATAATTTGTGGTAATCTAGATTAGGCAGTGTGTTTATAAGTCTGAATAGGGCACAACATTATTTAATGTGATAGCATTTAAAGTTGAAAACTTTTAGGTATTGTTTGCTCTTTTTTTCTGATTTCCCTTAAAAGAAAGTTATATTGCAAAAGTAATTACTTGGGACCATTTTGACAGGGTTTTTGATAATTTTTTCTAAGAAGCTAAATAGTATTTTTTTTTTATAATACACCTTGTAAAAAACGTTTTAAGGGTCTTTGCAGTGTGTACAGCCTACCTGAATACTGGGAATATCATGTGAATTTTCATGACCGAGAAGGAATCCATGAACTGCTGGTCAATTTTGCATAGAAGAAAGGTTTGAAATTTGGAATGAATGCAAATAAAATCTGCCACTAAGCACTGTTTGTTGTCGTTTGGCTTCCTTTTGTCAGGAAAAATGATCTTGATCTCATCACAAAATCACAATGTTGCCCATGATCTTGCAAGTCGCTGCGATTGTAAGAAATTATTTGTACATCGCTGCTATTCCTGTATATCATCACAGATAGGGCCCTATTTTTGAAATGGTTGACTGTTGAGTTGAGTGTTGAGTCACTCACTTTCCAATTGTTATGTATTTTTCATTTTTCAAACGATTGACAGTTGACTAATCCAACTAAAACTACTCACCACCAATTGAGCTGTTGAGTGAGCAGTTGACTGCACTTTCTTTTATCTCCCTCAGCAAAAATTGTTATTTTTTTTATATCAACGCCATATTGTAATTGCTTTGTTTACTACTACTATTACTAACTGAGATTATAGGTTAGGTATTTGTTGTCAATTATTGCCATAGTGCCCAATATTTTATTCTATTGTTTTCTGTATAATAAATTACATTTTTATTTACTGTGTCAATAATAGACTATCAAATCAAGGGTTGTATCCTTGTTGGTATGTTGCAATACTTTGAAAAAGACGGCCTACTAATTAAACTTATTATAAGATAATTATTATTATGATTTATTAACTTAAACATCAAACACAATTAAAAATAACAAGAAAAAAAAACTATGAAGGGAACTAAGGTGATTTGTTCTTAAATAGAGACGAAGAAAGCAAATAACTTATCAAACGGGTATAATTATAATGAGGTATAGCCTAAAACAAGGCTCCGTGGTTAATTTATTTCGAAAACTTATAAAAAAGGTACTTTTGCAATCACTAAGATTAAGACATAACCTTAATCTGGCAAGTGACAATCTCTACGGACTGAGCTGACAGTTTACCTCAGTTTCTCGAAATATGGCAGATTGAGTTGAGATTCAGATTAGCTGAGAAAAGGATCCATCCAGAATTTAGAGTGAGAGGTTAGCTTGAAGCTCGCAAGCCAATCTGCACCTGTGCTATTGGTTCAAAATGATGTCATCTGTTTTTCGTGCGGTGTTGCCGCTTTCATTTCTAAACGAGTCACTTAACTAGTGATCACCAACTCACTTCTCAACTGTTGGATTTCAAAAAAACAAAATCCTCTTGTTGGTTGAGTTGAGTGTTGACGATTGACTCAACTCTCAACCATTACAACAATAGGGCCCATAATGTGAGAGATGATCACTAACGTGCTGGGATTCAAACAAACATCACAGTTTATTGTTATGTCAGCGGGCAATTATCACGGATGTTGCCAAAATCGCAAGAAATCATATATGTTGCTGTAGATTTTTTATCATGGAGTTAACTTGAATCTCTTTGTCATGGTAGCTGGACACCCTGCTTTGTTAAAAAAAATCTTGTTTTTCTGGGATGATTTTGATTTTGTTTTAAGAATTAAAGCAGATGGTAGGCTGCAGATAAACTATAGAGTTATCAGCAATGTCCTAATTTAGACTTCTCCGTCCAGTTTACAAGAAAGAGCTGCAAATAATTATATGGCATTACTAAGTAGAAAAAATCTGATCTGATTATCATAAAAATTAGATAAACCACAATGTCTCAGTCAATGCTAACATTAAATATTGAAAATACAATTGAAATAATAATAAAATAACAATGAAAGGCTAATTTTGATGTGTTTATACCCGTTTTATCTAAAACATGCTTCATAAAAACGTATAAGAAGAAGGTTTTTAAGAGAAGTTTATTCGTGTGTCAAAAGAAAAATTAACGGAACAGTAAGTTGTTAATTAAAATGTTGCATCTGTTTTTAAAATAATAATTACAAAGAGTATTTTTCAAATGTCTTAAGCTTGTGTACCTATTGTAAATAAGTCCTAGTAATTATTTGAAAAATTTATTGTCACCATAGTTGTATTCCATTGGTTGTGAATGTTGCACAAAATCTAGTTTAACATAATATTACGGTTGTTATTGTAAATTTAGTGCCTTCATTTAGTGTCGAGAAAAACCTTATACTTTATTGAAAAATGTTAAATAATATAAAGTCATTAAAACTAGTTGAACTTCAGCACTCCTTTAAGGACTGCTAAAAACTGACAATGAGATGCAGCTTTAATTTGTTGAACTATGCATCATTGTATAAGGATAGTTTATGAAATTAAGTAGTTCTAAAAAATAAAGTTATATTTTAGTTATTACTATCAAGAAACTTTATACATCCTCTAAGATAAATTCTGTATCGGTAATATCATTATTAGATAAAGTAATTGTGAAATCCAACTAGGCAATGTATAAGATGTGTACATAACTATTTCCTGTAATGTACTTATATGAAAGTTACTTAACTTGTACATAACGTGTTTACATATTAAATATTTTATTAATAATATATATATATGACGTACCAAATCTAATTAATATACTAGATTAAACTTCTTCCTTTCATTTGGCCATTGGAAATATATATAAAATATATACTGATGTTATACAAGGTTAAATTCAACTGCTTCAGACACAGTTGTTTATTTTCAAATTTAAAAGAAAACATGAAAAGGTGAGCCAAAATAGAAACAATAATCTGGTTGAGAATTAAACAATTTTTAGTGAGTCGGTGGCTCAGTCGGTAGCGTCGCGGACTCCGGGCCCAAGGCAGCGATGTCGTGGGTTCGGATCCTGGTCACTGCGGATAACATTTTATCAGTAGGCCTACAGTTCACCTTTGTACTGTACCGGCTCACTCCTTGCCTTGCTGTTAACAATCCACGCTTTATGGCTTAGTCTATGTGGACGGGCAAATGCAACGTTAAAAGAGGCCACCAACCTCTTTAAAAAAATAAGAAAATGTGTAAACAAAAAATATTAAATAACCTTGACATACATAAAACATTTAAACTTGAAATAATTTCAAGTAATTCTTGACACAGTTGTTATTGCTGATTCAATGCACTGAGATTACAGTTGTTGATGGTCTGTGATGCTGTCTTTGACATGAAAACCCAAATGATTATCAACAAAGATTAAACTTTAAATATGTAATTCAATTCAGTGAGTCAACTTCCCTATAAGTTGTGTTACAAATATCAACATGGTTTACAAGATTACAGCATGTAAGTAAAAACTATATTTCAACCAATATTTGCTCTACATAGTTTTTTAAGTGAATAACCACTATGTTTTTTACTTATTACTTCAAGGTTGGTCATATTTTACTACTAAATTGACTAGAACTTCTTTAAAACAGCCACAAACTAGCTAGTGTTACCAATTATTGTTGAAGTTATGAAATTACATATTTTCTGTAATAAACAGCATCACCATAGAATAGAGATATTAAACATAATACACAGTTAGAGTACAATTTCATAATTCCCATAAGTTTATCATGGTATCATTGAAACTAGCCCATATTCAAATTGAGTAGACAGTTTCTTCTCTAGGTACTGAACAATATAATAGGCTGTTATATACTATAGCGCTTGTAATGCATAAAGGAAAAATCAAACAGGCGGACATCATTTGGATGTTATTTGCATAAAGATTGCTCAAATTTGATGTAATTTCCAATGGCCAGATAATCAAACATCTTATTCCAATTTGACCAGGGTGTAAGTCTTACTTAGCATTTCCAACTATCTAAAACTTGACTAATCCAACAAGAAACTGAATAAGGACAATCTAAGTCGAGCTTTAAGGAAATATTGTATTTTAATATCCAGTTATATCATGGTTAAACACTCAAAATATTTTTATATCGTATTAAAGGCTGATTGATAATAAATGTGAAGAAATGAGATTGAGTACTTAATATGGAAACTGTTTTAATATGTTCCTTGTTAAACCTATTATTATACAATTTGTCTTAATTTAATCGTCTTCGTATTTTTTAACACATGCCTTCTAGTAAAGTTATGATTGTATAACAAATTTGTCTACTTTTTCTAAGAGAATTGTTTTTTTTTTCAAAAGTAGTTTAGTTAATTTTCCAATCCATTTCAGTAAAATGCATATTCTTAATTATATGACAATTCAGCTCGGTTGTTATTTTTAACTACTGATTAACTATTTTTACATTGTTAATGCCTAGTTACAAATTTGTCTTCTTGGTAATTTTTTTTTATTTTTAAGGTTTTAATTCATAAGTAAGTGTTACAAACCTGAAATACCATGAAATCACCATGGATGTGTAGGCCTATGGGTTATATCAAACATGACCAAAATATATTTTATACATAGAACGATAGAACTTATATATTTTACATAAAACTATTTTAACAAAGGAAGAAAGCTAAGCTTAAAAATTAAGCATACCTATATTTATAGGCCTATTGTTATTTTATTTTAAATCAATATGTTAACTAACTAATGTTAAGTAAAATGTGTTTCAAAGTATTCATTATCAAATCATTGATACTAACATAAACCATCCTTTATTTTAATCAGGTAGATGATAGAGTCAAGCTAAAAACTGCAAAAAGCTTTTTCATTTCTTTGCAAACAAAACCTTAACAAAAATCCATTACTTTTTACTAAACCACCTCTGTACACATTCCCAAATGTATTTTAACTTGTTTTATATCGATTCTATTTTCTTTGAAAATGGGTTTTAATGAAGATATTATAAACTTAACATTTTGTCTTGCCTTATAACAATCTTATAATGCAACTCCTTATTGATCCTTTAATCAAACCTTTAACGTCTTTCATCAAAGATTTGTTTTGGAACCTAACATTTTTTCTATTTTATTAACTAGTATGCACTGGAATAAATATTGTTATTCTTCTACATCACTAATTCTTTTCACCTTAATGATTTTCAAACAAATAATTTTTTCGATGAAGAAAATGATATTAAAACGCTTTGTATATTTAGCGGTTTGGAGCAAACTATATGATTCGTGTCTATTTTATTATGAACTTGTAGATAGTTGATAGCCTAATATTGCGCAATATTTACATTGTACAAGCATTCCCTAGGTTATTGGATAATTTCCACTTTTAAATAATAATTTTGTATTTTTTCTAACATTTTGTTGTTATATTGAACTTGTTATGTTGAGGTTAGTTCAGATAAGGTAATTGTTAAGTATTGTTATTGTTCATGCCAGGTTATTTATTAATATATTTTATCATCTTAGCAATGTTATATTTAATGCATTTTGCACAAAGTTAAAAATAAAATTTTTGTTTTCTTAGGTTGTTTTTAGTCTCTGGTTACCTTTAAATAACTTGCAACACAATTTGACAAACAGAACCTTGTATCATGTAACATATGATATGGTTCTTGTAGGGGTGTGCGATGCATCGAAAATGCATCGAAATTTCGATTCGATGCATCGAATCGCGATTCGATTCAGTGGTGGTCAAAAAACGATTCGATTCACGAGGGAGTCAGTATCCATATACGAAAAACGCCTGCAGAAAGTCAATGCAATACCCGCAATACAGGAGCGCGTTGCTGTTGCGTTTCCTTTACGAAGGCGTTCTTATTTAATACATTCTTTGCATTAAATATAGCTTTAATTGTTTTATATTTTTTTGTTTTGACATTGCAAATGATTAGAGGTTTGTTTTTTGTCTTGATGTAAGCAGTGTGTGAAATATTTTACTACTGTGAACCTAGCCAAAACAAGGTAGGTTACTCCAAAATCATTTTAAAAATAAGTCTGAAAAATTGTTACTTAATACTTAACTAGTAAAATTAATGTTATAGACTGATTCATTTGGTATTTTTGTTAGGTGTCTGCCGGTCCCCGTCCCCGAATTTTTGTTGGGGCAAAAGAAAAAAAAAAGAATAATTTATTTCCAAAGAAACACTCTTATATTATTATATATATTATTACAGAGGAATTAAAATGTTCAAATGAGAATTTAAAATTAAGTTGGCTCACGACCTTTAAGAATAAAGACACAACAGAGCAATTGCCGCACTGCCACTAGCCAGAGCCAGGTCTAGTCGTCTACTGATAAGAGTAACAAGACAAAAGCCGTGACGCAACACTAACAGTGCAAAGAAAACAAAGTCAAAAGAATAGAAAGACTATTTATCCAGACATACTAGTATAATCATTTATTGTTTATTCAAGACCTAATTAAAAATATATTTTATTATTTTACATAATAAATTATAAACAAAAGAAATATCTGATATAGTGAACAGATCTGTATCTTGGTTAGATGGGGTTAAAAAAATATATTTCTAAGATCCAATACAATATTTACAACTCACAAATTACATTGAACTAATTTCTTTGAAAATAATCTCTAACAGTTTTGTGTTTTTGAATAAAGAAATATATTTCTTTGTCTCTACTCCCTTGTTTCATCACTTGCATTTTGTCAGCAATTGAAGCAACTGGGTAGCAACCGGGTGGTGTAAGAGGGGAGGGGGAGGGTCTATGACCTTGAATTCACACATCGTTGCCCGGGCCTGGCTGGTGAGACTGATTCATTGTTTTTGTTGACATACTACTACCCTTCCTTAAGAGAAAAAGGCCCTGCTGTTCCAAAAACATTGAGGGTAGTTTAAAAACATTGACCTGTGTTGCCAAGGGCACTAGGCTAGAAGATAGCATTTAACTTTCTTGTCTCTTGATTTAATATTATTTTAATCTTCTATATATTATTTAAGAGTTACTTTTCGGGTACCTAATTAGTTGTGATATTGTTTGGCTTTATTTTATGGATTTTTAATTCTTTTCATTCATTAGCTATCAAAATCAGTTGTTTTAGGATTTTAATCTCTTGCAGTAGGTCTATACTACTGTATGACATGATATGCATTTTTTAGTCCTTATTAATTATACCATAAACAATGTTTGTATGTTATTTACTGTTTTTGAGTTTTATAGGAAATTAGTTTACACAATATCTTTTCTTCAATGAGTTCTCCACTTGACATGTTGCTTCTAGCCTATTACTATTTTAGGCCCTATAAAAATAATGCCTAGGTAAAGCTGTAGGCCTACTGATGCCAATAATAATTCTTTATTTATGATGATGTAACAAATAATGTAAGTGTGAGGTTATTATACTAAGGAGGTTAGGAGGCAGGGAATGAATGATACATATTGCATGGTGGAAACATATTATTTTTATTTTCTTCTTGCTTGCAGTCCTGAAGCCGGTCCACAGGCCCTAAACTTGTGATATGTAAATTTATTTCTTAATGGTCTTTTTATATTAAGTTCCATTCAAATTTGTTGTAATTTAGCTACCGGCACCTATTTAGTTATTTAAACAGTTATTAAAATGAGAATGAATGTCTTGATAAAAAAAATATTTTCTTCTTTCTTGCAGTTGAGCCAATTCAAGTAAAAATTATGAAATAGGCAAGTAAAGCAGCTCACTGGTATTTCCAGCAGTTATTCTAATACATATGATTGAAAATAAATATTTTTTCACCTAAAATTCATATGTAAAGTATGAAATAGGCCTAATACCACATCAACAAAAATTTGTATTACACAAATGTGATACATTTTAATTATTGTTAATCCACTCAATTGACAATTATGAATAGAAAAATACCGTATTGCTTCGAATCGAGTTGCATCGAATCGAATCGAAAATCTTTTGAATCGAATCGTTGCTTCGAATCGAAAATTTTTTGCTGCTTCGCACACCCCTAGTTCTTAGCAATGATTATTTTATCTCTATCTTTTGTTCAGAGAATCATGTCTGTAGTCTGTACAAATTCTGGGTGTATGTCTGTTCTCTAATAAAATTAGGAATATTTTTAGCACCCAATGCTAACTTCATATTTTTTAATTTTTCTTTGGATTTAAATTTCCATGTCATTTGATTTTTATGGACGGGTGTATATTTTAAGTGGTTGACACAAATGCTTTTTCGCTGTGTCAAAGGTTTACTCACTGTGAGGATAATTAAATGGCATTAAAGGAAAGTCTCTCTTAAGTTCAGCTTCACTAAACATTTTACTATTCACAGCTACACTGTCACTACTAAGGACAGTTTAAAATTAAATTGTTATCTGTTATGATTTTTCTTAGAAACAGATGCCACCCAAAAATACTAATCACTTAAATTATTAGTTATGTTAATATTAACTGTTTAATTATCTTAGACAAATTGATCTGAACAACATTTC